TGATAATGCTCAAAAGGTGCAAGGAAGAACATACTATAATTATCTAAATCGGATCTGGACACAGCAGCAACATTACTGTACTGTGCCACAGCTATCTGAGTTAAAAGAAAAGGAAGAGGAAAATCCCAGTATTCTACTCATAACCGCGGATGCAGTTTAAATGTTACAAATGTAATAGGAGCTGTCATAAAAACTGCAGGCACGACATAGCAATTTCAGTAAATACAGCACAGTAAATTGCTTATTAAATCAAGCTGCCCTCAAACAGGAGCTGTGGCCACAAATTCAAATGATACAATGACATAATTTAACTGCACCAAATCACACCGCTCCCATCCTTTTCTTCCCAATCCTGAGATTTTAGAACTTCTTAGAGGAGCTAAAAAACCTTCCTGAAGCACGAAACCTTCTGTGAGGCATAAGCAGAGTGCACAAAAGAGTCGTGAATGCGTACGTGCTGTGCTAGATGGTATACTTCTCTTGGTAAATAGAACTTAACCTCTTGAACTTAAGCCCTTGGACTCTGCGGGATGCAGTAAGTTTGTTTGCAAATGTTTTTCTCTGAAGGAGTGAACAGACCACTTGGGCATTATGCCCGGGCCAAAGAACAATTAGAATGGCGCTGGTGGTAGAAACGCTGTTCAGGCTTACTGTCTATCCAGTCCTGTTCCCATTCCAAAGCACAGCCCCTCCCGATGTCCGAGGTCCACCCCAATCACACCACGTTTTCTCCCACTCTAGGATAAAAAGATCAAATCGCATCTGAAAGACAAATGCACCAAGCGGGTACGGCAGCATGACACCACTGAATTCATCAGACTTTTTACAAAGTGACAAACCCCAATGAAAGAGGAAATAAGTAACTTATGAACTGGATGCTCTGAAGGATGTATCTGGGTGTGCTGGTGGAAGGGACAGCCCATGCCCACTATTGGGAATTTTCTCATCTCCACAGAATACAGCTGAGAACAGAAGCTCTCATTTCTGTTCTTCCAAACCAAGGTCAGAAGTTACCAGGACAAAAAAGGCAGTGCCTCTTTCACGTCCGAAACTGCAACACCAACAACTTGATCTCATTTGAAATCCCATATTTTTCTTTAGAGCACACATGGAAAAGATCAAATTTAAGAAAAAAGCCTAGAATACAATAATAAAAAGGCAGTAAGTAGGGCTAACAACACAGCACATAAATTGCAACTAACTGTACACGTCCAAAGATCAGCACATGCAAAAGGTAATGCTGCTTTGAATGAAAGTTGCCAAGTGCGTTAGCCCAATTGATACAAACCATGTGCGTGTGTGCGTGTGTGCTGAGACTAACCCACAGGGCATCCAAAAATAGTCAAAGGTAAAAGAGAATGACTACAACCGCTTTAAGACAAAGTGTTCACTTTATAGGTAGGTTGCAAAAAAAATAGCAGGTTGAAATTGCCAGAAAGATTCCTTGCTACAGCAGAACAGCTTAAAAACACACTCAAAGGCTACATCATTGGAAATGTGGCATGTGGCATTCACAGTTTGAAACATCAAACAAGAGACTGGAACTTAACTTTGGTATCACTGAGCCACCACCTGCAGGTTTTGGAATAGATCTGCCAACCCCAAGACACTTCATTCGTGACTGATGCTGAGACAATGCGCTGAAGAGGGGCTGCTCTAGTCACACACATGCGTGAGGGTGGGGAAATCCAAACCATAGAGCACTTCCTTACTCTTGGAAAGACCAGCTGTGTCTTCCAGGGGCCTACCAGCTAGACCACCGCTTGGACCATAGGCGTAAGGGGTTTTTTGGGAAAAGATGTGTCATCAGTGAGAGACAGGATAACTCGTTATCTAGCTGGAGGGAAGAAGCTTATTAAACAAGGATTTGGCTGAAGAACTTATGCACGCAAAGGTGATTAATCTCAAAAGATCAAAATTTTCAAGCTAAATCACAGGTTCTGCATTTTGAAGACGGGAAGGTGCAATTCCTGCCAATATTTTTTTTGCTGGGTGCTGGACATTATTATATTAATATCACAACTAAGACATAGCAGCAAGTCTGATCCCGCTCAGGAACCAAGTAATATAAAGTTACACGTATGATCGCCATTTTTACAGTCCTGAGCCAGGGTCACTGCACTCATCCACCTCTTCCTTTTGGGGACCTGACAGACAGATTCCCCATTTACACGGGGACGCTGTGCACAAACAGAGTTCTGACCTTTCAGCAAGAAGTCTTCCACACGACTCCAGATTTCAAAGGCTGAATTTATGCTACTGGATGCAGAGCATAAGCTCTACTACCGCTTACGAGGTAAATCCTCCCCTTCCTCAAATTTACAGATGCTTTTTTGAGCAGTCCACATTTTAAAACCCCCATGTAGCTTAATAGACCTGCTGAGATGAAACTGCCGTGACTTTTTGCATTTGTTGAAAACACCAGTTAAAATTAACAATCTCGAAAGAAATCCCTTCTACCCAGCAAATAAAGATTCTTATTTTAGAATAAAAACAAGGGAAGGGAGTGTTCACATAGTAACCTTACTGCCTTGAGCACTGGTCTGCAGAATTCTGTATTAAAAAAAAAAAAAAAAAAAAAAAAAATTCTTTTTCATTCCTTTTTAAAAAGTCCTTCAGAAAAAGGATTGGATTGCTTCTGCAATTTAGCACTCGTTTCTGGACCACTAAAAGTTAGCTGATCACACTCATTTGGTACTTTTTCTTTTGCTCACATGAAGTTCCTGCCAGAGGAGGTGAGGAGCAGAGTGAGCACTGACCCTGCATCCACAATGCTAACACACTCCATATACAACACTACTGAACCCCTTCAGGTCAGGCCTGCGAGTACAGCATGGAAGACAGCACTACTGGTAATACTGGGAGTGGGAGCAGGGGAGTGGGGAAAGAACACACCACGTCCTAGGACAAGGTTAAAAAAAATAAAGATAATCTTAATTTGCTCATCGCCCATTTACAACAACAATGCAGGGGAAAAAAGAAAAAGGAAGAGCTCTCTTAAACCTGGATAACTAAGATTTAAGAAAAAACCCACAGCCTCGGCTTCAGCTTCCAAGGAAGCTTGTGAGGTGAAACAGGGCCATGTGGAGGTCAGTAGGTGATTTACAGGATGGTGATGCAATGTTGCCTAAAAAAAAAGCAAGTTAGAAGTGAGAGGAAACCAGAGAGTCAGCTAGGAAGCAGCATGACCCCCAGCCATCGTGGAAGTGAAGACTGTACAGCAAACAAGTGAAGATGGACCCAGAGAAGTTCTTGAGGTGATTTTGTTAGAGGTACACTTTGGGATTTTTTTCCCTTGGAATAGCCTACACAACAGTCTGACACAATGAATGACACAATCACAGCTTGTAGATTAAAGGTACAACTTTTCAGAAGCATCTAAAGGATTTAGGAGCTTAAATTGCACTGCAAATTCCACAGGAATTTGACCTGTAATTAATTAGACTCTTCTGGAGTGTCTTTGTGTTTTTGTTTTTAAAGTGTTCTTTTCCCTTGCAATCTCTGAGAAAGCGTGTTTCAAAATCAGGATGTGATTAACTGGAGCATTACAGAATTACAATGAGCAGGAGAATTAATGTATGCAAGTGTTATTTCTGATTTCTGTTTCTTCAGATTTCCTGGAGTCACTGTTAGTTTCTTCCCTGGACAAAGGGGTTTAAGGCTTTCTTGAACTAAGCCCCTCTTTATGTAGCCAGCTACAGCACAATTATGCTACTAAGATAAGACGAAATGCAGTGGTGATGCAGCAATTCATCATGTTTGGGTTCTTCTAATGAAGCCCATTACTCACAGAAGAGAATTTTCTCAAGCAGTTAGTCACCAGCAGACAGATTTCCCTGTTACTCCTTCCTTTTCTACAGCTGGTGAATAGTCTGGTCCTCCCCTCACCATCCCAAAAGTGCAGTATTAGGAAAAGTCAACACCTAAATCAAAAGTAAACAAACTTTCCCTTAACCAAAAAAATTAACAATAAAACAGAACAGCTTTCAGAAGCAAGCCAACCTTTTTCATTAAAAAAAAAGACAAAACCAGCCTGCTGTCCTTTTAATACTACTGAAAGATATTGAATATCTTTCTTTAGCTTATTAAAAGAAGCATAAAACCAAACTACATACTAATTACAGCTTGCATAGAAACATTTTGTTTTGTACTTTGTGCAAATCTTACTAAATAAGGCATGCTTGAGAGTTTAGGTAGCAATGCAGTAGTTATCAAAGAATGCTGAGAAACTGCAAGGAAAATTCCAGGCAGTCTGCAATCCACATCCACTTACACAGTTCATTTGACTTCAAAGACCAACAGCTGATAGCTGCAGATCTGTCTGCAACATAAGGCAATATGGTATGTGTAGGGTCCAGCACCTGCTTTCGGCTAGTCATGGGTTTAATACACATAAGATCACTTGAATTCAGAAAACCTGAGCCACTAGTTAAAAAGAGGGCTTCAGAAGTGGATTGGTAAGAACCCTGTTTCAGGGAAAAAGAAGGGAAGGGGGGGGAAGAGGACAAAGGCATGGAGAAGCAAAACCCTTCGCATAAAGGGGTTTTGTGCAGATTTTGCGTGTATTTTTATACCCTGAACTGTCTCTGTGAGGCAATGTTTTTCCAAACAAACTGTCTTCTAACAGTTATCCAGAAGAGTATTTCTGGAACAGAAAAAGCTAAAACATTTGCCTCTCTTAGCCAACCTACAAGTGTCTATTGCAGAAATTCAACAGGAATCAGTGACACTAAAGAAGGGTGGCTGCGTAAAGGGGAGGAGATGAAGTAGGAAGCTGCAGTAAGAGCAGTATCAGAAATCTCTCAAATAAGTTATGTAGCACAGAGGGAAATTATAAGGCCTAATATAAGGTAATGTGGAATAACATGTTGCCTCGTTCTTCCCTCTCCAAATCAAGTATTTTCAGGAAATATTGAAGTAGACCTTCTTTTGTAAGCAGCTTTGCATTGAAAATCTGTTTAAACTCCAAAAGCTTTTTTAAAACACATTTAAAAAACCCACTAATAATAATCCTCAAAATCCCCCAGTATTTTGTAACATAAAATAGAATGTTCCTGGGCAAGAGCTGCCAGCTCCTTCAGGAACTCCGGGAAAAGGGCAGCTGCGAGTATGGCATTCCTCACGTGCGCGGGAAGGCCAGGATGAGCCAGGCCTTTCTTTCCTTTCTGTCCCAGGAAAGGCTGGAGTACAGCCGGGTAAGCTTCAGAGAGGTTCCTTCCTTTCCCTGCGTTGCTGCTGTGCTGGACATTACCTAAAGCCAGGAAGAGAGGAGAGGAGAGGAAACAAAAAGAAAAGGAAAAAAAAAACAAAAAAAAGACTCAGTATATTAAGCACACACAGTATTGGTACAGTGTCCAAGCCCAGTTTATAAGGATTGTGTTTAGAGCTGTAGTTTGCAGTACCCAGACTGTGCAGGGAGATACTCCACTAATCCAACATTTTAAAGTTCTACATGGCCTGATTCTATTGCATTTTTTATTAGCTATCTTTCCCCAGGTTATAAATTATTCAGTTCCAGCTCTGATGAGAGAAATACGTGGGCAGAAGAGGAGTCAAGGGAAAGAATAATATGGATTTACCTTATGAAATAGCAGATAATATCTACCCATCTAGACCCAGCATGGTTGTCTCAATCTAAATGATACTGTGCTCTAGCCCTCCCCAGATCAAAATATCTTTTGGACTTTACTTCTCTCTCTCTTTCTCTACTCTCATCATGTAAATAGGTTTCAGGCTGAGCTATCACATCACCATGGGAGTTTGAAGTAAGCTAGAAACTAAGGGGAAAAACATTTGAAAATTTCATTTTTCTACAGCTGTAGGCCCCACTAACTACACTCACCTTTAACTCCCTGTAAAGCAGCTAAACATTAAAAAAAGAGCAAGCGAAAACCACCATGTGCTCTGCTACATGATCTCTGCTGCCAGAGTGCAGAGGATCAGGGCTCAAGCATCAGAACGGATGGAATTATTGTGACAGCAGCACTTAAATTTCAATCAATTGCTCCTTGTTTCAACCTGAAGCAGAACTGCACTTTAATTAGTTGATAATTAATTCACTGAAACTAAAAGGTGATAAAATTCAACACTGATGGAAATAAATACTTTACAAAGAAAAATTAACCTGCAGAACTCACTGCCACAAGATGTCATTGAGGACAGATAAAATCCTGTCTAACTTACAAGTGGATGTTCTCATGAGCTGTATAAGTCAGTCATTAAAAAAAAATAAAGGACTGTCATATTAACTCACATACTGCAGATAAGGCAAACACTACATTGCTGCATTAAGAAGAGGTTTCCCTTGAAGTGCATGCAGTTTATGTTAAAACAACTCAGGTTACACCACCATTTTTCTGAAACCTCTCCAAGTAGCTAACGCAAGGACCCGCAGATGAATGCCTCACCTGACGCAGCAGAGCAATCCCTCTGTTCAACAGCTCTGCGCTTTTGTTCCTTTCCTGTAGTGCTCCTAAGGCACTGTGAAATTATTGTATGCTTCCAAATACTCGAAAGAAATTTCCATCTTAATCATCTAACAGAGTTGTACTTTTCTTGAGTTTCAATCTCCAGACTTATCAATCATTCATATTGTTATTCTACAAATTTTTATCTGCTAGGGACAGAGTACAGGAATTTCAGTTCTGTGGAAAATTCTGACTGTGGGAGGAGAAACAACTTAAATTATGAATTACAATGAAAAGACGAAGTTTTGAGCTTCCCTTAAAGATTTTTTTTTTTTTTTAGATTTTCTAACGTCAAAATGTTTCATAATTAATATTTCAAGTTTTTTAAATAGTTTAGCCAATATAACCAGAATGCTAGCATACTGTCAAAGCTTTTCTTTCTTTTTTTTAAACTCTTCCCTTCAAAAAGATCGAAATTGATACATTTCCCTAAATACATTTTGATTTAGATTTAACTGCTTATTGAAAAAAGAAAAGAAAAAAGCACAGAAAGCTAGTCTAGGGACAAGAGATTTGATTTTTTTCTTTGACCAGGATTGTCCACTTCTTTCTAGGGTCAGGATGCAAACTGATTCACACAATTGAGAAATTATGAAAATGAGTACTCTGGAGATACTGTTACCAACGCACTGAAAGAAGGGCAGCATTTCATATGGGATTTACATCATGACAGGTCTACACATCTAACCAGAACCCAAGCTACAGTGTAAGGAAACCACATACTACTGCAAGCAGAAAATAAGAAATCATCCATTTCTGCTCAAACACCTTCAGAGACTGTCACTGTCAAGAGAAAGGAAATGCTCTGGAATATTTCAGTTTTACATTTGCGCTACCCACTGAGTCTGGCTGCCACTTTTCAGATGTGAATTCTGTAGGAGGCCAGTTATGCTCAGACCTGTAGAGAAAACTTTGGGGTTATTCCCCACTTCCGTCTGGGGAAAAAGCCCTCAGAGAGCAACTAATCTGCATGACGCCCAAAGGTGGCATTCAAGCTAATTCAAAGAAATCCTACAGGAGTTCCTCTTTTTTTTTTTTTTTCCATTTACCATTATTGTAGCAGTTCCTACTTTGCACTTCTTAATCAATATAATGAACTCCTATGGGTTGATGGACTACTGAGCCAACTTGCCCCAAGGATTACAGTTTGATTACCTGCATCACCAGTCTTCTGGGGAACCAAGTCTGTAGTTATCCAGACATTTATTTACTCTCCATCTGTTTGTCAAGAGGTGCCTTCTTTGCAGGAGTTGCCACAACACAGAAGAAAACGTACCAACAGAGTGACTAAGCAGCCTTGTTTCAAATTCCTAAATAATGACCAGCATGAGTCAACCTGGCAAATTCTGAAGCCCACAGGAGAAAACTGACATAAAATAGGAAGTATAAATAAATGCCATTGGGAATGCATTATATAAAAGTTCTTATTGCCAGCACCTGAAAAAAAAGACACTAAATGTTGCCTCCTAATCTCATCTCCCACATGCTAGCTACAATACCATCTAATTGTAAGGCTTTCTAATCTATGGCACCAGAATGTAGTGCCTAAAATGCTACCAACATTTGCAATACACAGCTCCTTTACAGCAGGCACCTTCCACAGACCAATTCTTCAAGAAGCTGCCTTAGCAAGATCATAATTTTATAGACTAGATGTACTCCAAACCTTAGAAACATATACCATGCTGACTAGAAACTAGGTAACTTACTATTCAGAGCCTCGAAAAATGAAAACACAATTAAAATGGCATATAAAAAGTCCCGCTTTCCATACCTGTGGAAATCCAAGAAACATATCAACATCTTCACAGAGGTACGGGCAGAGTGGGTGATATTATATTAATGACTCCCAATGATGAGTAAGCACACACCTGTAAATGCAGCCTCTCTTGAACCCTGTTGCTCAATCAGCTCTTAATCACTGTGGTCATTGCTTTCACCAAATTCGACACATTCTCATCACATGGGAAGTTGGTTGGCTTTTAAGGGAAACCTGTACCCAACATTGCCTGCTCAGCAGCAAGCTGAGAACAAGCATGGCCCCAGGGCACAGCCCCAGCTCTACCGGTTGCCTGGCTGCATCTGGAAAGTTCTCAGTTAGAACGCAAGATTCTTCATTTTGCTTTTTTTTACTAGCTTCCCCCATGGCAGTGTAAATACTGGTAACTATCAGGAGAGGTGTAGCGTGCGCTGTGCTTAAGCAGCAGATGTTACAGAAGTCCCCTGAAAAGCTGGCTTGTTGGGGTGATACCTGTTTAACTCCCCACTGCTCTCGAAGTGTCCTGACTTTTACACTCACCCATCCACCCCCTTTTTTTTGTTGTTGTTTTGTTTTGTTTTTCATTCAAGAAAGCACATTCAAAGTTTTCTGGCTAGTATCTATCTTCTTCAGTAGTAGCCCAAACCATGATATGAAGCTTTATTCAGTTGTTGCAGAAACCAATTCATTCTGGACTTCTGTCCTCCCTAACATTTATCAAAAAAGAACCAATGACTAGCTGAAGGTCAGGCTAAAAATAAAACGAAATCATGCACATATGCCATCTCACCTCATGCCTTGAAAGCAAGTTTGTTTACAGCCAAACTGACAGCGAGCCAAGAGCTGATTTTGTTACTCCTTTAAACAGACATTTTCTGTAGCAAATAAAAGCTTCTAAAGAGCAAAGAATATCCAAATAGATCCATATACTGTGGCCTGCTGAGCATCATCAGTTTAAAGTCAGAAGGGTACATCTGGTTAATGATATTCACAACGCACCACATCTACTTTTAATCATGCTATAGAAAATGAGAGAGGTAACTGGTGAGTCATTCTACCCAGCACTCCTCCGAGTGTGGTTAACATTTACCTTTGGTTAGCAATTCTTCCGCAGCATCAGACATGTCCACACGAAAAAGCAAGTACTGTTGGGCCTCCAGGAGAAGACCTGGGAAGTCTTTTTCAATGGAAGCAAAATGTTCAATTTTATTTTTCACAGATGCCAGCACCTGCCAAAACAACAGTAACAATTACTTCTTCCTCCCTTGCTCCCAGTGCAGCCACAGACTGAATACTCAGGCTTTCTCTAGCTGCATTAAAATAGAGTTACAACAAAAGTTATGGTCATACAGAATTTCCAGTTCTTTGCACAAATGTAATTAAAACATCAAAATGAGATGAGAGGCTCTCAGACAGCTGGGAAAGCAACAGGTGGAACTGAAAAGAGCTAATGTAAGGTTTAACGAGACACCAAAAATACTGTTCCAATAGGCATGACTAATGCTTGTGGTCAAATACCTGATAAAGTGACCGCACACTAGGCTGGAACACCATGTTGGTGTTGAGCAGAAAGGAGCGAAGAAGAGGCTGTGGATAACTTGCCAGCTGAGTAATAATCCCAATAAGCATTAAATTTACATGCAAGGAATTCTCCAGCATGTTCTCCAGCTTCGACAACACCACGCTGATGAATGGTCCTGCAAGAAAAGAAGAAGGAACCAATGCTTTTGTTCTCACAGAAGAAAAAGCCTAAGATCTAGGAAATAACCATTTAAAAGGAATTTTGATCAGCATAACCAACAAATCAGACCTCCCACATGCTAATTAAAGCCAGCAGGGAGAAAAACCAAACTGTATCTGGGCAGACAAAATAGACTTAACAGAGGTGTTAAAAGCTTTCATGAGTAGAAGCACTTTTGCTAGCTAGCCAATGAGTTTACATTAATGCCATATTTAAATGCATAACTATTCTACTTTACATGTGCCAATAAGGATTTAGCCTAATATGTTCTGGTCCACTGTTCTGTACTCCTTGAAGTTAATCAGAATGGTACCACTAGTTTCAATGCAAACAGAATCTGCCCTTTTTACACTTGTTGTGCCTAATTTCTATGTAAGGACTGGGCAAAGTAAATTATAGCTAGCTTTTTTGTTTTATCAAAAAACTGGAGTATTCTAAAGAAAATATGAAAATGCTACTCTAAACAAGAAAATCAAGACCTGTGATAGTTCACATCACAAGAAAAGGCATTTTTAGTACTGCAAACAGTCACACAAAGCAGGGAAGACATTAAAATAGATTTATAAGCAAAATTATTGGTAGATGTAGGCTTTATCATATAAATGTCACCAATAAATAATAGCTTTAGTTTGTGTATTCATGCTGCAGGTTAACCACTGAAATACAGAAGCATTTACCATGAAAGTACATAAACCTGTAGTGTTCAAGCTTAAGAAACCTTTGCAAGGCTGAGCGTGACTTTAACCAAATAATACCTATCATTAGATGCTACAGCCGGTGAGATGCTTGAGGCAGTCTGTAAGAGTGACCTAATCACAAGTAAAGTCTTAGAAACATCCCTTGTCCCGCACCCAGCCCTACCGCACTATTCTGGCTGCGCAAATGCTAGGGAAACCATGCAGAAGAGTCCCTGGGTGACGCAGTTACAGCATTGCTAACTTTGAACATCCCACCCTAGTCCCCAGCACAAGATGCATGCCACGGGCATTACTAGGGTCAAGCAGGTAGCCATAATCTGACCCCATTCCAGCTCCTTTCAGCTAGCAAATGGCTGCCATTCAAGCTACCTGGGCATAGTTTAGCCCAAGTTTAATATGCCTGCTGTAAACTACGGCAGAGGTTAAAGCAATTCTGGGCCAGCGCAACAGTAAGGATCAAATCGGAAGTGCCTACGTTGCCACTTCACCTAATAGAGCATCACTAAAGGTTGAAGTCTATCATGTTTTATAGTGACCATGAGTACAAAGCAAGCACCCCCTCGAGACTCATCTATCATGGCTAATGCCAGCACAGCTCCACTCACAAGAGGAAACGTAGGAGGGCCAGTGTTGACAAGGCTTTACGTGGCTGCTACCTTTCAACCACCGTATCAGCCATCAGAGTGAAGGTTGTGGCCTGGTTGTGGCTGGGGTAGAGTTAATTTTCTTTCTAGTAGCTTATATAGTGCTGTGTTTTGGATTTAGGATGAGAATAATGTTGATAACACAGGGATGTTTCAGTTACTGCTGAGCAGTGCTTACACAGAGTCAAGGCCTCTTCTGCTTCTCACCCCACCCCACCAGCAAGGAGGCTGGGGGTGCACAAGAAGTTGGGAGGGGACACAGCCGGGACAGCTGACCCCAACTGACCAAAGGGATATTCCATACCATATGACATCATGCTCGGTATATAAACTAGAGGAAAAGCTGACCGGGGGTCCGCTGCTCGGGAACTGGCTGGGCATTGGTCAGCAGGTGGTGGGCAATTGCATTGTGCATCACTTGTTTTGTACATTCTTTTATCATTATTATTATTTTCCCTCTCTTTTCTGTCCTATTAAATTGTCTTTATCTCAACCCATGAGTTTCACCTTTTTTTTTTTTTATTATTTTCTCCCCCATCCCACTGCGGGGCACTGAGTGAATGGCTGTGTGGTGTTTAGCTGCCTGCCGGGTTAAACCATAACAGTTGGTATCACATCCTGCAGGAATCCCCCCTGCCTGGGTACCCAACGGAGCAGCTCCAAAACCTTTTGCTGAGATAACAGTTTCTCCTGTCCCACATAACCTACTGCTTCCCCTCTCATGTTCATGGAGAAATTCTCACAGAGCTCCTGAGGACCACAGTGCAGTGGGAGCTCTACTCTATCAGGAGGGATTGCAGGAGAAGGAGTTCAGATATATCACTGTTTCTCTCCTCTAAGTCAGACTTCAAAGCTGAAAAGGTGAAGCTGAAGCTAGTACTTGTTGTAAGTGCTGTATGCCACTGCAAGAGAGGTTACCAAGATATATTAAAAAATTTCTCAGTGGTAGAGTGACTTTTTCCCCCCAAGAAATTATTGGAATGAGAATCAGAGGAACTAAGCAGAGTTTGCAAGCTTTGTAAGAAACAGGGTAAACAGATGAGAAGTAAAAAAATTATTCCTTTCCTGAAAGTGCATCTCTATGTGGCCATGGAGTCAAGCACTGATTTGGTGGGGTGAGGAGGGGAAGAATCTAAATTCCTGTTCCTGAACACCACATTCTTTCTTGCTCAGGGGAACATAGGGATGATAGGATTTAATGCTTTTAAACTGGACATAAACACCAATAGAACATTTTTTTCATAGATCCGTAGGCCTGAAGAGAGCATCTTTGCACTGCTGACATTTACTGGTTGTAGGAACCTCTGTCTAGTTACTTGACTCTGCAGAGAGAAGCCCCATCCCATGACAGCATCCCAAAACAGTGAAAGCAACCAAAAAATCCTTATCACACACATCTACAAACATAATATAGCATTCCAAATTAAATATATTATTATATTTGAAAGACACTGCAATCTCAACATTTCTGAGGTATTGTTGTGAGCACCTCCTTACTTGCAATCATTAAGATCTCCGTTAAATCAAGGTAAACAGCCTAAGAGTAAAACATGATGTGGATGGGGAGCAAACAGCAAGGCTTTTTTTCTCCCCGCCCCTCCCCCCCCCCCCCT